TGTGGAGGAAGTGTGTGTGTGTGGAGGGAGTGTGTGTGTGTGGAGGGAGTGTGTGTGTGGAGGGAGTGTGTGTGTGTGTGGAGGGAGTGTGTGTGTGGAGGGAGTGTGTGTGTGTGTGTGTGTGTGTGGAGGGAGTGTGTGTGTGTATAGGGAGTGTGTGTGTGTGGAGGGAGTGTGTGTGTGTGGAGGGAGTGTGTGTGTGGAGGGAGTGTGTGTGTGTGTGGAGGGAGTGTGTGTGTGGAGGGAGTGTGTGTGTGTATAGGGAGTGTGTGTGTGGAGGGAGTGTGTGTGTGTGTGGAGGGAGTGTGTGTGTGTGGAGGGAGTGTGTGTGTGTGTGGAGGGAGTGTGTGTGTGTGTGTGTGGAGGGAGTGTGTGTGTGTATAGGGAGTGTGTGTGTGTGTGTGTGTGGAGGGAGTGTGTGTGTGTGTGTGTGTGTGTGTGGAGGGAGTGTGTGTGTGTGTGTGGTGTATATGTGCCCATGAGTATGGAGGTGACCAGCAAATGACAGAGGCCAGAGCAGGACAATAGGCGTCCTCCTCTCTGCCTGCTGTTGCCTTGAGACAGGGTCTCACCCTGAAACAGGAGTCTGGCCAGTGACCTCTAGGGAGTAGTTCATCTGTAAGCTAAGACCCACCTTTTCTCAGACTTATACCTAGGAGACAAATTAAATCCCTGTCCCCAGTCTGCAGAGGCTGCGAAACCAGACAGGAAGGTATCCGATGGGCCGCCTGATGAAATCCTGACCCCCATCTCCTCTCAAACAAGGTCACACTATACAGCCCCAGAATGCCCTGGAATCCACAGAGATCTGTCTGTCTCTGCCTCCGAAGTGCTGGAGTTCCAGGCACATACCACTACCCGGTTCTGGGGCATAAACATTCTTGATTAGCCAGGTTCAAACCTTCCTTGAGTGGGTTCTGGAAACACAACTCAAACCCTTTACTCAAGGAGTTTATCCCCAAGTTTGTTTGGGCTTTACTTGATTTCACTATTATTTTACTTTGGGGCTTTTGTTGGTTGGTTTTTGTTTGTTTTGTTTTTGAGACAGGTAGAGGTTAAGAGAGTTAGAAGTTCAAGGTTGACCTCAGCTATATAAAGAATTTGAGGTCAGTCTGGGCTATACAAGACTTATCTACAAATAAAAACATAAAAACTAATTAATTGGTCAATCAAGTAATTAAGTCTCTTAATTACACCCCCTCATCTACCAGTTCTTCCTCAGGTTAACTTTCTGTGGATGTCAGGTTACAAAACCTGCGTTCTATGCCATATGATACCTCCTGTGCTAATTAGTCCAGTTTCTGTTACTACAATAAAACATCCAAAATGAGATTTTGTTGTTGTGTTCATTTAGCTCAGTTTGGGAGACTGAAAATCCCAGTAGCATACATGGCTTTACAGCAAAGACCAGCACAGAACAGGGGGTGTATGTTAAAGGAAGAGATCGCATGGTCACACAGAAGTGGGGAGTGATTTAGGGTTTGGGCTTGGCCATAACTCTCGCTCACAGGGAGCTCAGACGTCCTGGGACAATGACCTAACCTCCTTCCATAGCAGACCCACAGTGACCCATGGACTTCTGTTCTCACCATGTCATCCAGACTGGTCCTGAACTGGTAGTGATCCTCCTGCCTCAGCTCTCAGGATACATGAGCCTGGTCTAGATTCTACATCTTTAAGATTCCATACTATCACCCAACAGCATCTCCCAAAAAGCTCCTAACAGAAAGAATTAGGGGGCAGCTTACACCCAAACCACAGGAGTAACAAACATTGGGGGCAGATGGAGCCTGCGTGTCCAGGTAGGACACAAGAGGACTTCACCCGCTCTGGCTGTGGTTTGCTGTCCTCCGAGGGAGTCTGAGTCCAGTTGGCTAGGACTTGGAATTGCCATCAAGCTGTGAGATTGGTACCAAAGGAAGCTCAGTGGTGCACATTCAAAAGAGGTTCCCTCCGGGCAGTGGGGCCACACGCCTTTAATCCCAGCACTTGGGAGACAGAGGCAGGCGGATCTCTGGGAGTTTGAGGCCAGCCTGGTCTACAGAATGAGTTCCAGGAAAGGTAGGGCTACACAGAGAAACCCTGTCTCGAAGAAACAAAAACAAAAAGAGAAAGAGGTTCCCATATGTCTGGCTTTGTCCAGGAGTCAGACTCAAACCAAAGAAAGAGGAAAGAACATCAAGAGAATGCGTGGACAATTTTGAGACCTAACTTAATTTATAGTTATGGGAAAACTACTTAAACATGAATAAATACTTGCTAATACTAAGAACGTTTTTATTCCACTGTTTTCCTTTTTCCCTATTTCTTCGGTGTGGAGTGCGTCTGCCCCACGTACAACTCTCCAGAGTCGGTTTCTCCCATGCCAGTTCTTGTGACGAGAACTCGGCTTCAGAACAGGCAGCCTCTTTCTGATCGTCCAGCTCAGGCTCTTGGGAGCTCATCGGGACACTCATGAAACTGGGGGCTCTTTGTTCTCAGAACAAAAGATGGATGAGAGGGCCCCTCCTCTGGAGACAGTGATAAGTGACAGCGTCATTTTCCAACTGAATTAACAGCACTGCAGCAGCCGCGCAGCTGCCTGTTCCCTGGCGGACTTCCTCAGAGTCCCCTTTGCCCTGTCACTCCCAGGGAGATGGAATTCCGCTATACGTTCTTTGCCATAGCTGCTTTCTCTCTCTCCACCCCAGTTCTCATCGTTCTGGGCATCTCTTCAGGATGCCCCAGGATGCTCACCATTTGAGAACACTCCACTCTCATGTCCTCTCTATTGTCTCGTGTTGATCAAAGCAGTCAGGACCCCACCTTTCCCCTTGGTCCCCTTTGTTCGTGGTCTTATTGTCACCTTATCTAAGTCCTCAGCCTACACAGGAAAACACACCCACCCGGTCACTCCTTGTCCACTTACTGAGCACTTGCTGGGTGCCAGGCCCTGCTCTGTAGCAGTGAACAGGTAACAGGTTCCTTTGGCCATAGACATAGCACAGACCCCAGCTGCAACCGTACCACAGACCTAGTCATGGTCCTTGGCGGCAGCTCGGGCCTGGACATCATGATGGCCCGGGTGGCAAGCAGACCTCCCCATCAGCCCACTTCTGTCTTCATTTCTTCCTTTTGGCCTCTTTCCACAGTGCACGAACTCCCCCGCCCCCACTTCTCTTTCTCCTCCATTTCTCTACCATGTATTTGTTCATCATAACAGGACCCACCTGCCCAGTGCCACAAGGTACCGAGTGGGCCCATGGATGTCTTCCCGCCAGTGTGGACCTTCCAGGGTGGTCTGTGGGTAGCTAGCACCCACCTGAGCGGCAGGCTGTGGATCGCTGCTTAATCTTAAACTTAGGTCTTTTTCATCACTACTGATCAATTTTGAGTTAGAAAGACTAGCTGTAGGGCTACACAGCCCTCAACACAAGACCACTCAGACTTTACACTCATTTTCCTGCCCTAACTCAGTGGTTCTCAACCTTCCCACGGCTGCAACCCTTTAACACAGTTCCTCATGTTATGGTGACCCCCAACTATAAAATTATTTTTGTTGCTACTTCACAACTGTAATTTTGCTACTGTTATTGTTACGTAAATATTTTTGGAGACAAAGTTTTGCCAAAGGGGTCATGACCCACAACGCATTCATGCCCAAAATGAACGCATTTTGCAGCTACAGAGAGCATGTGACCCTTGGCTAGCAGCATGTTACCGAGGGGTGAGGCAGAAAGGGAAGGTGACTGACGTTCCCTCTCACCAGACTCGTCCTGGGATCCCAACTTCCCAGTGATGGCACAGCAGCCCTGTATGGGGGGGGGGTTAGGATGGTAGGATCTCAGCAGGGTCCCAGCCCCCAGCCATTCTACAGCTGTTCTGTGAGCTATTTGAACCCATGCAATAATACCTTTTCTCCTTAAGTAAAAAGTTAGCTCTGGAGGCTGGGAAGCTGGCTCAGATGTTAAGAACACTTATAGAGCTTCCCATATCCATATCAGGTGGCTCACAGCCAACTGGAACTTAAGTTCCCGGGGATCTAACACCCTCTGGCCTCTGTGGGTTCTTGCACATAAACCGATAAAGGCAGACAAACACACACACACACACACACACACACACACACACACACACACACTCATTAAAATACTACATGCCCTCCCCCCAGCTCTGGTGCTTGGAATACAGCTCAACGGAAAAAAGCTGGGGCAGCTAAGTACCCCTGTTCTGTGGGAGATGCTCTTGTACACTGTAGAGATTTGTCACTCGTTTTGGCTTAATAAAATGCTGATTGGGAAGTATAGGCAGGGTGACCAGACTAAGAATTCTGGGAAGAGGAAAGGCAGAGTCAGACACAGAGGAAGCAAAATGAGACTGCCTGAGGAAAGGTACCAAGCCACGTGGATAAACACAGACATTTGTTTTATGGTTAATAAACATAAACAATTTGTTTATGGTTAAAAGAATTATGGGTTAATTTAAGTTGTTTTTGTTTTTTCGAGACAGGGTTTCTCTGTGATTTTGGAGTCTGTCCTGGAACTAGCTCTTGTAGACCAGGCTGGTCTCGAACTCACAGAGATCCGCCTGCCTCTGCCTCCCAAGTGCTGGGATTAAAGGCGTGCGCCACCACCACCCAGCTTTGGGTTAATTTAAGTTGTAATAGTTAGTTAATAATAAAAGCCTGATCTAATAGGCCAAACAGTTTATAACTGTTATAAGCCTCTGTATGTTTAGAACTGAATGACTGCAGGACTTGGTGGGACAGAAAGAAACTCTGTTTATATCCCTGCAACCCCAGAGTTTGGAGACAGAGACGGGAGGATCTCAAGAAATTGTCTGGCCAGCCATTCTAGCAGAATCAGTTGGCTCCAGGTTCTCTCTCTCTCTCTCTCTCTCTCTCACACACACACACACACACACACACACATGTACATGTGTACATATGTTAGCTCTTATCCTTTCTAAACAAGAACCCAAAACACACATTTTTAAACCAATAAACTAAAAGTAAACCAGTATCAGTAACATGAAATTATTTTAATATCTTTTTCTCCATGATTGAATATACAAAGATAATGGAAGTAATGTGTTCTTCTGCTGTAAAGATGGATGGAATATATCAAAGTCCACTCGCTGGATTTTCTTTAAATAGTCCTCTAGAGGAACCTGGAAAAAGAGAACACTGGTTACTAGATGAAATGATCAAGTTTCCCAAACAAACTAGAGAAAGAGGAAGCGAGCGTGGTGGCCACCCCGCAATCCTAGCACTCAGAAAACTGGAGAAGGCAGATTGCCGTTAGTGTGGTATCAGCCTGTGCTCATGGTGAAATCAAGGCCAACCTGGGCTAAAGAGTTAAGAGCACTGAGGGAACTGGGGCAGGACTGTGAAAACCACGCCAATTTGGGCCACATGGTAAGACCTTGTTTCATAGACAAAGGGAAAGTCCAAGCCTAAAGCGACTTTAGTTTCCGGAGGTGATAACCACATAAGAAAAACATTTCTTTTTCCCAGGACAGGGTCTCTTTATGTTGCCCCAGCCAGCCGAGAACTCATTACATAGACCAGGCTGGCCTTAAGCTCATAGAGGTCCTCCTGTCTCTGCCCTGTGAGTGCTGGGATTAGAGCTGTTGTCTTAGTTAGGGTTTTATGCCGTGAAGACACACAATGACCACAGCAAGTCCTAGAAAGGAAAACATTTGAGACTGGGTAATAGTAGTTCAGAGGTTTGGTCCATTAGCATCATGGTGGGACATGGTGGCAGCAGGCAGACAGGGTGCTGGGGAGTTCTACATCTGGATCCTCAGGCAACAAAGACCTGACATACTGGCCTAGCTACAGCTTCTGAAACATCAAAGCCCACCCACTAGAGACACATCTTCTCCAATAAGGCCACACCTCCTAAAAGGGCCACTACCTATGGGCCTACGGGAGCCATTTTTATTCAAACACAGCTGTGTACCACCATATCTGACCAAATTAAAGATTTTTCAAGATTTATTATTTACGCGTATCTGTGTGTAGGACACCAGTGTCTAAGCCCCTGGAGCTGCCTGACTTGGGTGCTGGAACTGAACTCCAGTCTCCTAGGAGAGTGTGCTCTTGACTACTGAGCCATCACTCTAGACCCAACATGAGACTTTCAAAGAGAGAAAATAAAGACATTCATGTCCCCAGAAACACTTAGAACAGCTGAGCCATCTCCCTGGCTTGCACCCGGGACCTTTGAACAAGCTTTCTGGGTTAATCCGATGTAGCCAGCTCAGCAATGACCTGTGGGCAGGCACAACTACATGTTCAGGTACCAGGGAGACACTCTCACAGGATGGTGTCTTCTATCATTCCCATTTTACTGGTGAGTAAACTGAGGGGTTAAAGACAGAGTCAGCGCAGAGCACAATGCGACCAGCTGCAGAGCCTGTGCTGATGACAGCTCAGAGCCCAAGCGTGACCGTCACGACGAAGCACGCCACCGGGAGGCAGGAAAACAACCAAAAGTTCTGTGGGGACCAAAAAAATACTGAGCATGAGTCCCAGTCTGCGCTGAGTTCTCCAGCCTCCTCCACTGAAGCACTCACCGTCTGAAGAAAGGCGGGAAAGGCCTCCGCAGGAACGCTTCTGTGGAAGGACCTCGCCTTGAAGGAAGAGGAAAACACAGAGGCTGGTTGGAAAGCTTCTCAAACAGTCTTCTGAGGGTGAGCATGAAGCAGCGGCAGTTTAAAGACGAGACCAGGGCCTCTCGTGAAAGCAAGGAAACAGCTCGTCTCCGCTGTTGTATAAAAGCCTCTTCCTTCCGGGCTCAGCTGGGGATTCCAGGGCCTTACATCTCACACTGACTCTGGCCCCAGCCTGGCCTCCTCCTTAGCTCGAGTACAGATGGCCTTCCAAGCGGGGTTCCTGCCTAGTGTCTGATGAGTTCATGTCTTCTCATCAATTACTTCACCTCGATCAAGTATCAGCTACTCTTCCTGGAATTTGGATGTCTGCGTCTAACCCCTAGTCTCAACTCAGCCTGACTCTTCTAGGCTACGAAGACCTGGTCACTCGGGCCGATGCCGTCATCCTGCACTGGCCAGACCGACCTGGTGTCCAAGTCTCCGTCAGCATTATCTCCTACACCCTCTACTTCCTCACTGCACACGGTGGTCTCAGCTCCGAGGTCACCCAGTTCTCTGTGCTGTCACCTTTCTCTACCCTTTCTGCAGCACGGGACACGTGATCCTCCTTTCTTCTCTGCTCTGGGACGCAGACCCCAGTTCTCCTGCTCTGCCCTTTGCCCTGCTTCCTTCTACCTGATGCATGGATGTGGCCACAGGCTCTGTCTGCATCCTCATCTAGAGGCACACGCTCCTTGAGCAACAGCACCTAGACTAAAGCTTTGATGGTAACCTCTTACATGGTGACTGCAATTCTGCACAACCCTGCACTCTCCAGCGGCCTGTCTCCCTAAATGTCGCTTCCTCTAATCAAACTATAACCGAACGAAGACCAGCACCAAGCACACGCTGTCTTGCATCTCTGACTGGCACTGGTGTGTTTGTGTGTGAGCTCATCGTGCAGCCTGTGACTTGCTCTCCCCCATCTTGTCATAGTTATCTGGTGTCATTGTGGGTGTGGCTACACACACACACACACACACACACACACACACACACACACATCTCTAAAGAGCTTTATCCTTCTCCTAAGTAAGGGGAACTGTGGGAAGCACAGCCATGTCCAGTCCCACCACCACCTCAGACCCGTGGCAATGGCAAATCCTCCCGAGTCAGGCTCAGAGAAATGGCAAAACCTTGCCCTGGTCTGTGTGTGACTGTTGACAGGACGTCCAGACGTTTCCAGCCTGAGACCGCTCTCCTAGAGAACCTCCCACTGACACTAGCTAAGCCTTCTTCCTGCTGCTGTTTTACTAACAAGAGTGTCCAGGTGACTAGGCACTGCCCTCAGAGTGAGCAGAGACCAGCTGGTCTAGTGTCTGTGCTGTGCCTTCAGACTCTGTCATTTCTTCATTCCTGAGATGCTCCAGTCAGGACAAGGACCAAGCTGTGTGGGGCCAGATGTGAAGAGGCACCAACTCATCCCCCAGCTCCCAGTCTTTTCTCTTTCCTTAAATACTATGTGTACATTTGAGTGTCTGTGCTCATGAGTGCAGGTGCCCATGGTGGCCAGAGGATCGGATCTCCCCGGACCCGAGCTGGAGTTATAGGTGGCTGTAAGCCGCCTGTGATTTGGGTGCTGGGAATTGAACTCAGGTCCTTTAGTGAGCGCAATCTGCTCTCTTAACCACTGAGTTGTCTCTCCAGCCCCCCAGCTCCCGGGCTTTCTTGTCTCAAGCACTGCTCGATCCAGCCATGGTAGCTCACACCTATCGTCTCAACATGCGGGAGGCCGAAGAAAGGATCACAAATCCACAGCCAGTGTAGACCACAGTGGAACTCCTACCCAGGTTCACCAGCAAATGCCACAGCTTTACTTGATGGGGATACAAACTAACTTATAGTGCACTTGCTACATGGCAGGTGCTACCTGTAACTCTGTATGTTAGCTCATTTATCTCAGTAACACTTTGGGTAGGAAGTAATACATCCTCTTGTCTGCCTGGAAGCTGGGGGAAAGTGAAGCTATCACACAACTAATGAACGCAGAATTAGATTACGGTCAGCCTTCTGCTTTGAGCGTGTACCAGCATCTTCCACCTTCTTGCACTTCTCAAGGGCCTCCAAAGCCCCTCGATGGTTCAACCCACCGCTCTAAAGCTGTTTCTGGGAGTGGATTGCATGCAGCCAGTAGGCCAGTAGCTTTCAGTCCTAGCTATGAAAATCACCTGGAACAAGGACGCTGGCTAGCCGGGAGCTTTGCTAGCATGCGCAAGACCCCGGCAACAAGCTCCGGCACTACACAACAAATACGCTTTTTTCAATCTTCTAAATTAATAATTGTTGTTATTGTTTGGTTTTTGTTTGAAGACAGGGTGTCTGTGTAGCCCTGGCTATCCTAGAACTCCCTCTGTAGACCAGGGTAGTCTTAGACTCAAAGATCTGCCTGCCTCTGAGATTAAAGGCATGTGCCACTATGTCCTGCCACAACAAACAAATGAATAAAATACTTTGGAAAAATGGATTCTCAGTGTTGGTTACTCTACCAATCTCCAGGGAGAAAGGCCTAGAACTTGGAAGAGACAGATCTATGAGTTTGAGGCTAGCCTGGTCTACACTGTGAGTTCTAGACTATCCAGGGCTATCTAATGGAACTGTTTCAAAAGATTCTTTCGTAATTTCACACACACACACACACACACACACACACACACACACACACACACTTCATATTCTTCCCCCCTACTATTTTCTCTAATCCTCTCCTCCTCCACCAAACCCTTCCCAAGAAGCAAACTCTTCAAGAACTAAGGTGGATTCTGGTGAACTCAGGAACCAGTTAGGAGCCATCAGAGCCAAGTGGAACTGAAGTAAATTCCAAGGTGAAAAAAGTGTCAAAAAGGAATGAAGGCCAGAGAGAGCAACTGTTCAGTGGGGAAACATGAAGATTCCTCGCGTGGCCTTACACTGCTGTGGCCGGAAGACATGAGAGCAGGAGAGACGGCCAAGGTGATGGGCTCTCCCCAAGCCAGCTAGAGCAGAGCACTCGCTCAACAGGATAACTGAGAATGCTGGCTGCTGCCGAGGTTCAGAAGGGGAGGAGACAGGAGCAGGCAGGGATGGCAGACACACTCTGGGGAGGAGCGGGGCCCATGTGAGAAAGCTCAGGCTTCTCACTCACAAAAGGGTGCATCCCCAGCTGAGGGCAGGGAGGGGGTTTCTGGAGCAGGAAAAGTTTCCAATAGTCCTGAGATAAACCCTGGGAATCCAATGAACACTGGGACAAAGACTGCAAAGGTCAGAATCCACAGTACACTACAGAAAGGCTACATATATAAAAAACCCGTAGCATCTTAGATAGGGCTTCTATTGCTGGGAAGAGACACCATGACGGCAGCAACACTTACAAAGGAAAACATTAAATTAGCGCTGGCTTACAGATCAGAGGTTTAGTCCATACTGTCACGGCGGGACATGGTGCTGGAGAAGGAACTGAGAGCTCTACATCCAGATCTGCGGGCTGCAGCAGGCGTCTGTGTCCCACTGGCCAGACTTCCAGGTCAGCTTCCACAGTGACATACTTCCTCCAATAAAGCCACACCTATTCCAAAGAGCTCACACCTCCCAACAGTGTCATTTGCTATGGGTGAAGCCTTAAAACACGTGGTCCACGAGGGCCATGCCTTCTTGTGGATCATTTAAAGATGTGAAGGTGGGGGCTGGAGAGATGGCTCAGTGGTTAAGAGCACTGACTGCTCTTCTGAAGGTCATGAGTTCAATTCCCAGCAACCCACATGGTGGCTCACAACCATCTGTAATGAGACCTGGTGCCCTCTTCTGGCCTTCAGGCATACATGGAGGCTGAACATTGTGTACATAATAAATAAATAAATAAATAAATAAATAAATAAAAAAAAATAAAGATGTGAAGGTGTGTTACATTTGTTTATACTGCAGATTATGACTGTGTGAAGGTGTGCTATGTTTGTTTATACTGCACAATATTTAACTGTGTGAAGGTGTGTTACATTTGTTTATCCTGCAGAATATTACTTAAACTATGTAAATGTGTGTTATATTTGTTTATACTACACAATATTTAACTGTGTGAAGGTGTGTTACATTTGTTTATACTGCAGAATATGACTTTAACTGTGTGAAGATGTGTTACATTTGTTTATCCTGGAGAATATTATTTAACTCTGAAGGTGTTACATTTGTTTATATGCAGATTATTACTTTAACTGTGTATATAATTTTAAATGTGCTACATTTGTTTATTTTGCAGAATATTATTTAACCATGAAGGTATGCTACATTTGTTTATACTGCAGAATATGACTTTAACTGTGTAAAGGTGTATTATATTTCTTTATCCTGGATAATATTAAACTCTGAAGGTGTGTTATATTTGTTTATACTGCAGAATTTTTAATTGTGTGAAGGTGTGTTAAATTTATTTATTCTAGCCGGGCAGTGGTGGCGCATGCCTTTAATCCCAGCACTCGGGAGGCAGAGGCAGGCGGATCTCTGTGAGTTCGAGGCCAGCTTGGTCTACAAGAGCTAGTTCCAGGACAGGAACCAAAAGCTACGGAGAAACCCTGTCTCGAAAAATCCAAAAAAAAAAAAAAATGTTTATTCTACAGATATTACTTTAACTGGGTAAAGGTGTGCTACATTTGTTTATACTGCAGAATATTACTATAACTGTGAAAAGGTGTGTTATATTTGTTTATATGACAGAATATTACCATAACTGTGTGAAGGTGTGTTATATATGTTTAAACTGAAGAATATTTAACTGTGTGAGGATGTGTTATATTTTTTATTCTGGAGAATATTATTTAACTGTGAAGGTGTGTTATATTTGTTTATACTGCAGAATATTTAACTGTGTGAAGGTGTGTTAGATTTGTTTATACTGAAGACTATTACTTTAACTGTGTTAAGGTGTGTTAGATTTGTTTATAATACAGATTATATAACTGTGTCAAGGTGTGTTACATTTGTTTATACTGAAGAATATTTAAGTGTGTGAAGGTGTGTTAGATTTGTTTATACTGAAGAATATTTAACTGTGTGAAGGTGTGTTACATTTGTTTATACTGCAGAATATTTCTTGAACTATGTGAAGGTTTGTTATATTTCTTTATCCTGGAGAACATTATTTTACTCTGAAAGTGTGTAACAGTTGTTTATACTGCAGAATATTTAACTGTGTGAAGATGTGTTACATTTTTTCTGCCTTTGCTCACTATGTAAAATGTGTTGCTTTTATTTATGCTGTTTTCTTAAATCATGTACAGATGTGCTGCATTTGTTTCACTGTGCAGCCTAAGGCACCTGGTTGATCTAATAAAGAGCTGAACGGGCAATAGCTAAGCAGGAGAGGGACAGGCGGTGCTGACAGGTAGAGAGAATAAGTATGAGAAGAAATCCAGGCTCGAGAGAGAAGAAAATGAGGGAGAAAGAGAGATACACCTGGCGCCAGAAGCCAGGCAGCCGCCAACGAGGCAGACAAGAGAAGCAGGAAAAGGATATCGAGAAAGAAAGAAAGAAAGAAAGAAAGAAAGAAAGAAAGAGGAAGGAAGGAAGGAAGGAAGGTAAGAAGCCCACAGGCAAAATGTAGATAAAGAGATACAGGTTAAGTTACAAGAGTTAGGTAGAGAGGAGCCTAAGCCTGGCTGAGCGTTCATAACTAATAAAGTCTCCATGTCATGATTTTGGAGCTAGCTGGTGGCCGAAAAGAAAGCCCTGGTACAAGGCTATTCAAACCACCACACACAACACGCCATAGAAACAGCCCTGTGTAGTAGTGACGACTTCCTAAACAACCAGGCAAAGGAGCTACTTACATGCTTTAGGTGCGAGTGTGCCTGGCTGGCGATGTCATATATAACATCCCTCACATTTTTATCATGGCTCCTCCGCAGAAAGTCCTCTTGAGAAACACCATGCTGCGAGGAAAATACAATTTTAGGAATCTATAAGCACACTTAAAATCAATATTGCTAAAGAAGACAGGCAGAGATAGGCAGCATATATAGGATAATGCCTAATTATACACTGTGTATAAGTGTGCAATGGTTGGTCGTCCTTATCCACTTTGATTGTCTATATAATCCACTAAGAGGCATGCGTGTAGGTGGGTCTGTGATGGGAGTCTCTGGAAGGATTAACTAAGGGGAAGACCTCCCAGGTGGGCAGACATAAAGACGTCTGATTGAAAAGCAGTAATGCTTTTGCCTACCACCTTTGCTCCTTGCTGGTGAGTGCATCTGCCATGCTGCTGCACTGCTGCCACCCTTCACTGACAGTGGAGTTCAGCTTCTCTAAAGGTCTGCAGCTCTCCAGGAACCCCCCAGACCTTCAATGCCAAGCTGGGATTGCTGAAGTGTCCAGCCATCAGGACTGGTCAGGTTCTCAGCTGCTCCACTGTGCAGGCAATTACTGTTGAATTACTCAGTGTCCAAGATGCAAGCCAGCATCATAAACCACCATTAGCATACATACTCTTTGTACCAGTTCTGTTTCTGTGGTGAACCCCAACTAATACAGTGTATGATGTGTGGAGAGAGAGAAGCCTAACGAAAAACAAAAAGATGAAAAGGAGGGCTGCAGAGATGGCTCGGCAGTTAAGAGCACTTGCTGGAATCTAGGTTCCAGTCTCACTCAGCTCCCACATCTGATGGCTCAGAACTTCCTGCTCCATAGCATCTGAGACTTTCTCTGGCCTTCACAGGCATCCATGTACACACACACACACACACACACACAAACAAAAATCTTTTTTAAAAGTTCAGAAGGGCAGACAATAAAGAACCTCATTCAAAACCCGAAAGTTCTGATAAACATCTGTAACTGCTGAGCCATCTCTTCAGCCTGATAACCATTTTTTTCTTTTCTTTTTCTTTCTTTCTTTTGTTTTTCAAGACAGGGTTTCTCTGTGTATAGTTTTGGCTGTTCTGGAACTCACTCTGTAGACCAGACTGGCCTCAAATTCACAGAGATCTACCTGCCTCTGCCTCCCAAGTGCTGGGATTAAAGGCGTGCACCACCATCACCAGGATCTCAGATAAATATTTTTAAAAGACGTATTCCAGCTGGGTGAGGTAGACAACAACTACAATTCCAGCACTGGAGACATGGAGAAGGAGAATTGGAAATTCAGCATCATCCACAGCTATATGAAGATTCACAAGTTCAAGTTCAGCCTGAGCTCCCCACCAATAACACAGTAACACACAGGCCCAGGTGAGGCTACTACAACCTACTTAAGGGAGTTGTCACTGGCAAGGAGGTGCAGGTTATCCAGGCCTCCTCCTTATAGCGCCTCATGCTTGCCTATCTCAGTATGCAGGGCGAAAGCAGGAAGTGCGGCGCCCCCTTTCAAACAGCAATGGGATAAACTAAGCAAAACAAAGAGCACCCCCTCCTGGTGTCTCCAGAGGATCACTAGCAGGTCACAGCCTCACCTGCACACAGACATCCATGGGCAGGAACACTTTTCTCCGGCTACCATGATAGGGTGTTGCTCTCAAGCACGTGACAATGCCTTGTGCCTTTCCAATATGACTTGCAGCATGGTCTGCATGAAGATCCTTCACGCCTAGAATTACAGACACCAAGCATAGCAAATCAACAGAAATAGCACGAGACATCATCTGAACCCAGGAAAGGTACTTATCCTGTCTGAGATCTGAAAAATAGGATTTACGAGGGAAAGTGGGTGCCAGGGATGAGCCAACCACCTTCCTGCTAGCAGGCATCAGATCTCTACTTGTTAACTCTCCACCTTCAGCACACCAAGAATACACTGAGAATTTCATTAGACTGCATGGGAAACTTGAGTGTTTCATTTTTTTCCCCTCAAAACAATGTCATAACTTTACTTTTAGGGTGCAGCAGGATAGGCCTGGGACAGTCAAGAGGGACTGTATTCTGGGGTCTGACATAAAGGCAGCTCACTCTCTTCAAATGAGATATTACTACTGTCCTTGGCCCCAGTAATCTAACCATAAGATGCTGCCAAGTTGGAGCAAGGTCAGAGGAAAAGTGTCATTTCAAATATTCTTAAAGGAGAAGAAAAGAAAATCTCGTAAAATTTTGTAAGCAATTTTATTCTATCCCCCCACCATGGGGAAGAATTCTTGACAGGGAGGAAGAAGTACAGCCCTCCAGGTCACAGGAGATGCTGCAGGGAAAGGTGAGGCCACCAGCACTACCTGATGTTTAACCTAAGGCATTCTTATGAGTGAGTATTTGGACAAGTCTGCACTACGAGAGGACTATAGTGCACAGATAATAAAAAGGTTCTCTGTCTATAAGTTTTATTTATAAAAATACAAATGAATGCCACTACATTTCCCCTTTTTGTCTAAAATGAATAAGAAGGCTATAATTAATATAAGAAAAACTATATACAATAAGTACAATAACTATAATATATACGGTAATAAATACATCAACAATGTCTAGTTCATTTGCATTTGACAAATTCAGAGAAAATACTCCATATCTATCCTTTTTTGGTGAGTCCAAAATCTTGTACCTAATTTATTTATTTATTTATTTATTTATTTATTTATTTATTTTTGGTTTTTAGAGACAGGGTTTCTCTGTAGCTTTTGAGCCTGCCATGGAACTAGCTTTGTAGACCAGGCTGGCGTTGATTAAATGTGTGTGCCATCATCACCCAGCTTTACTTTCTATCTTGTTTTCTGCATCAGGTAAACAAGGAAAACTGTAACTATCTAGTCTTCAACTCCCTCAGAGACTCAAGAAGGAAACAATAACTGAGTACGCAGGAAAGTGCAAGCAAGCGACTTCCAAAAAATGTAATGACGGAAACATCTGGCTGCCTGGACAGTCACCCAAAGCTCCTCTGCAACTTTGGGGCATCCATCTTTGGCTTACTTTTTTATGAAATAGGACATTCTGAAGGGCTGTCCCTCCTTATCTTGACAATGTTGGGGAGTCTCTTTTGTGTCCTGCTTGTCCAATTAGGATAGCAATACTGGCAGCAGTCAAGGCAAGGGCATTTTTTTTGACCAGTGAATTACTTTTTCCACAAAGAAAGTAAACTCCATGTGGAGTTTCTTCAATGCCCACTATCTTCTCTGAAGTAGATTGGTGCTGCTAGGAGCAGACATGTCTCATGGTCATAAAAAAGAAGAACCTATGTTATTAAAACTTCTTAAAAGCAACTTACCCAGCACCTCCAGTGTCAGGTAAAGAAGAGAGCTCTGCGTGTTCTCAGCATAATCCTCAAGCTCCTGGATACTGCGATATGCTTTGTCATCCAGATTTTTTTCCTGAAGTCAAAGAAAATGTAAGTGAAGCCCACTGAATTATTATTTTATAATAAAGTGCTGATCTATTTTTTCCTGAAATAAATAAGAATATCACTTAACAGATTTATATAGTGCACAATAAAGATTAAAGCATAGCCAGGCATGGGACTAGAGTGTTGGTTCAGTGGCTGCGAATGCTGGCTGCTCTTGCAGAGACCTTGGTTCTGTTCTTAGCATGTAGGGGATCCAATGCCCCCAGCCTCCTCAGGTATACCTGCACATGCTGTATGAAACATTCATGCAGCCAAAATACTCATACATATAAAACAAAATATTCAAAATATGTATTTTATTCTATATAATCTTTTTAAAAAATCTATATAAATGCCAAGCCAGCCAGGTTTCATGAGACCCTGTCTCAAAAAACAAAAATAATTCCCACCCTCATCAAAGCCTTATAAATCAGAGTTTACAAATCACCTCCCAAATAAGGCTCAAGAATAGCATGAACAGACAGCCCCACAGGCATGGAGGCCTCGCTTTTCAGGGCTTACTGTTCATTCATGTCTTCTCTGCAAGTTTTATTGCTGAGTTGAAAGTCCTGACATATGCTAGACATTAAGTGTAATGGCATTTCTATTATATTTTAATAAATAAAGCTTGCCTGAAGATCAGAGAGTAAAAGAGCCCCCTGATCAGTCTTACAGACCAGGCAGTGGTGACACACACCTTTAATCCCAGTAGCCACGCTAGTTGTCACAGAAAGCAGGTGGTGCATGCCCTCAATCCCAGCCCTAGAGAGGATTATAAAATGAGAAGAGATGGCTCTCACTCTCATTTTGAGATTCCTGGAGGCAGGACCGCCATTTTCAGACTGAGAATGAGGTAAGAGTCAGTGGCTGGCTGTTTTGCTTTTCAGATCTTCAGGTTGAACCCCAAGTTCTCTGGGGGTTCAAGTTTTATTACTCATGCATCAATTAAGCACTTATCAGATAAGTGCCAATGTTTTTCCCATTCTCTCTGGGCTTTCAACTTTTTGAAGCCTTTAATTTTAATGAATTTTAATTTATCTCTTTTTTTCTTGTCTATACTTTTGATATATTTAAGAAATCAACTAATTTCAAATCACAAAGATTTACAGTTTACATCAATGTTTTCAACAAAGTTTGTTTTGTTTTGTTTTTAGGTTCCCAATGGGCCATCAAACTATATTGCTGACTTTTATATACATTGTGAGGCAGGAGTCCTGATTCAGTCTTTTTAATTTAGCTTTAATATTTTTGAGACAAGAGTCTCATGTAACCCAAGCTGCCTTGTAACTCTGACTGTGCCTAAGATGGCCTTTAACCCTGAGCCCCACATGCCCAGTGCTGGGGTCCAGACCTGCACCACCACTACTAGAGCCCGTCTTTGCAGGTGCATACACCCTGCGGTCCCAGCACTGTCTGTTAAAAACAGTATCTTCCCCATGAATTGTCCAGATACTCTTGTCACTCAACTGACCATAAATAAACGGCTTGTATACTCTTTTAATTCTTTGTAATAATTGACTGATGTAATTTGGTGTGTCTGCATATATGACAGCAGGTGCAGCGGCTCACATGGACATGTAGAGGTCAGAGGACAACTTTGGGAAGTCAGTTCTCCCTTGTCACCTTGTGGGACCAAGGGGTCAAACCCGGGTCATGCGGATTCTGCAGCAAGCACTTTTACTTGCTGAGCCATTTGCCTGCCCCTGAACTCTATTTCTATACCACTGACCTGCGTGTCCATCCTCTGCCAATACCACAGTTTGAGGTCTCCAGCTTACTAACTGGAGGAGGAGGAGACAGCGGCGAGGAGGTGAAGCTTAGGTGAGGACGGCGTCAACAGCGCAGTGTCCAGCTGGACACAACGGAGCACACCTGTGACCCCTGCAGCCAGACTGCGGCAGGAGGATCTATTGCGAGTTCCAGAACAGGGTGCCCATGTGAGACCTGGGCTTTAGTTTTAACTCGTCTCCCTTCAGACACTAAATGTTGGGGATGAGCATGAGGGTGTGCCCAGCACTCAGGACACTGCTGTGAGTTCAGGGCTAGGTGGGCCACTAGTGAGCTCCAGACAGCCAGGGATATATGGTGAGATCTGTCTCGAAATATTTTAGTGTTGGGACTAATGAGTCCTGGCCTTCAGCTGCTCTTCACTGCTAGAGCCTTCTAATTGAAGTAACTAAAAGCTATGCTTTGCCTAGAGGGTCAGAGGAAGGGATTTTCACCCGTTGGCCATTGACTGCAGGGTATTTAAGCCTCCAAGGTGCTATTAAAGAGGGGCTTTTTGTACCAGTGTTGGAAGGTCTGTGTGTCGGTCTGTCTCTGCGTGTGTATTCTCAACCTCCAGCCCCTTGCCCGAAGCTAGCGAACTGGGTTCTAGCGCTTAGAGCGCAGATGGGGCCGCGGTGCGCGGCAATTGGAGGTCCCCACCGAGATATCGGGAACTAGGGAATGCTGAGAGGCCGCCCTCGGAAGGTGAGGGTGGATTGGGGTATGTGTTGATCCTGACGTCCTTTGCTTGGTTTTAGCCCCGCCAAGAGGTAAGCAGACAGCGTTGTTCCTGGCCGATGGGGACATATTGTGGAGTTAAGATGGGAGGTATCTTTTCTTTGTTCAGAAAAGAGTCGGACGCTAGGGAGGAGTTTGATGATTTAGAGCTAGTGGAGGATAGTGAGGATTCATCGGAAGAAGAAGAGGAGATTATACGTAAGGAATTAAGAAATCTCTTTGGAAAGCTGAGAAAACAGAGTAAGAAAAGACATCCAACTCCCTCGGCCCCACCAGTTTATAATGATGAAGGTTGACGGTCTCAGGTAGGGGCTCTGACACTGAACAAAACAATTTATAATGATGAAGGTTGGTGGTCTCAGTTAGGTAGGGGCTCTGGCACTGAACAAAACAAGGGAGTTTGTTTCCGTCCTGTACACATGGTTGCACCGGTGATGGAGGTGCCAGACACCAACAACCCAGGGCAAATAATTCGCCAACATTTAGCAATAAAATTTAAAGAAATGAAGCTAATAAAGGAAGCTGTAGCTGCATATGGGGCTCAAGCACCCTTCACGTTGGCCATGGTAGAATCTTTCTCTGCTATGAACTTAACACCAGTGATTGGCAGCAATTATGTCGTGCTGTCTTATCTGGGGGAGATTATCTCCTATGGCGAGAAGAATATCAGGAAAATTGTAAGCAAACGGCCCAGTTAAATGCTCTAGCAGGTCAAGCTCAACGTAATTTCGATATGTTAACTGGGGCTAGGATTTATGCTGATTTGCAGCAACAAATTCTGTATGATCCCGGAGTATTCGCCCAAATAGCTGCAGCTGCCACTAAAGCGTGGAAGGCCCTGCCTAACAAAGCAGCTAGGGATCAATTATCAAAAGTTCTACAAGGATCACCTGAACCATTCCAAGATTATGTAGATAGACTATCACAAGTAGCAGGTAGATTGTTTGGAGATGAGACAAAAGCCATGCCTAAGATAAAACAAGGCATGATATTGTAAAGAAGCATTACGCCCTCACAAAACGAAGAGTCTAAATGAATCTATCAGGATATGCAGAGATATAGATGGGAATTTCATTCAAGGCCAGGTTATAGCAGCAGCTATTCAACCTCGGAGAAACATAAGAGAACTGGAGAGAGGGCTGGAGGCCGTAATTGTTTTAACTGCGGAACTCCTGGTCATTCTGGAAAGGAATGCCCAGAGCTGATAATGAAGGGAAGGAGGAAACCTGGCTTGTGCCCTAAATGCAGAAGGGGAGCACATTGGGCTAAAGACTGTTTCTCTAAAACAGATATAGATGGGAAACCTCAGCCACGTACCATTAATCAACAGCAGAGAAACTGGCAGAGGGCCCTGCTCCAGGGCCCCCAAACCTCAGTGTATGGAGCAACGACCGCGGGACTGCAGGACGGTACCCCAGCAGAGGCCATGTCCAGTTCCTTCCGCAGAGAAATCCTTTCGCATTGCAGACCTTGTCGGAGCCACACCAGGGAGCTCAGGATTGGACCTCTGTGCCTCCGCCAGAGCAGTCTTAGCTCCACAAATGGGAGTGCAAGCACTCCCTAGGAGTACATGGGCCCTTACCACCGGGTACCATGGGATTTATACTAGGCAGAAGCAGTACCCTTTTAAAGGGGATCCAAATACATCCTGGGATAGTAGATGCAGACTATAAAGAGGAGATTAAGGTTATGACATCTGTCCAACAGGGGGTGGTGGTAATTCCTCAAGGTGAGCGGATAGCACAATTAGTGTTGATTCCCAACAAGGTTACCAATAATAAACAAGCCCATGGCAATCAAGGGTTTGGATTCCCTGGAACGGCTGCTTTCTGGGTTGCACAGTTAAATGAACAGCCCCAACTTAAAATAACTGTAGAGGGAAAAGGCTTTGATGGTGTTTTAGATTCCGGGGCAGATGTATCAGTTTTGTCCTTAAAATATTGGCCAAAGGCATGGCCCTTGGAAGAAGGTACTTACGGCTGCAGAGAATAGGTCAAACAACTCCTCAAAAAGTTCAAAAATATTGAAATGACATGATGAAGAAGGACATGAGGGGTTTTTTTCCAGCCATATGTTCTTCCCGGCCTGCCTGTCAATCTAGGGGACGTGATCTCTTAGCAGAGATGGGGGCAGTCTTTTTTTTTTTTTTTAAGATTTATTTATTTATTATGTATACAACATTCTGCCTCCATGTATGCCTGCATGCCAGAGGAGGGCGCCAGATCTCGTTACAGATGGTTGTGAACCACCATGTGGTTGCTGGGAATTGAACTCAGGACCTCTGGAAGAGCAGACAGTGCTCTTAACCACTGAGCCATCTCTCCAGCCCAGATGGGGGCAGTCTTAACAACACAACCTACAAAGGTGTCCTCCTGGAAAGCCACCTCGGTGATGAAAGCTATGGATGGCTAGCCTGTTGGCTAGGGGGAGAGGAGCTGTTTGTGTTTTCCCTCCAGGAACGGACAAGCCCATTTGGGTACCAGAGCGATATGTCTGGGCTGTGGAAAATGATGGGAAAGGATCCTGTGATGAGCCTGAGAATGACACCTGTCGTTCTCTTGATGAGCCTCCTGGTGAGTCCCAGTCAAGTGGAGAGCACTGTGTGAAGTCTGGTAAGGAACCCCCTTGTTCTTACCAGTGAGCCAAGCCAGTTCTTTGTATTCATCTTTCTAGTCCTCAAACTATACAGCTGGAACTGCTTTAAGCAATATGGGGATAGAACAGGCTTCTATTAATCAGACCTTTTCCTTTGTGAATGCTTTATGCTTTGTTACATTTTTGGACTATGAGTATTACTTTATAGGAATCCTATACACGTGAGTGTAGTTCCTATCTTTTTTGGGGGGATATTTCTCTGAGAGCCCAAGTACTATTAAATCCCATGTTTGTTTTAGTTTTCTTTCTTTTTTCTTTTCTTTTTTGTAGTATGGAATAGCACCTTTAGGGGAAAAGATATGCTTGGTTGTTCTTTCAGAAACTGTGGCCTGAGCGACTGCTGGGATGACCACTCCAGGGCTGCCTTGTTGGTTCGGGTACCAGCCATCATACCACTGCCAATTACCAAAAAGGCCAAGCAGAGTGAGATGACCCTGTATCGAGAGAAACGAGATTCTGGAGAGACAGCTGCAGTGGTTGCTGTCATCGCGGTGTCTGCTGCTGCAGCCATGGTTGCAGGACTGGCAATGGCACAAACATCATTGGTGTCGGTCACCGTGGATAGACAGGTGAGACAAGTCAACTATGCTCTCCAGACTCAGAATGCCCTGAATGTCCACATTAAATTTGGACTTTCGAATTTAAATCAAGAGACTGCTCTATTGTAGGAGCAGGTGGACTTACGGCTAGTACAACAAATGTCTTGTTCACACTTTTATCATTCCATTTGTGTGACATCTGTTAATATTGCTAATGCCTCTTACGTGGTGAAACAACTCAATGGTTACTTGAATAGCCCTTGAAATGTTACAATTAGCACACCAGATTGTAACTGTTTTAGCCAAAGGAATGAATACCATAGCCCAAATGGGAGGCTGGGTACAGTGGCAACTGGGGACCCTATTGCTGGCAATCTTAACGCCTGTTGTCATGGGCATTCATCTCTGAATCTTGTGTAATATCAGACAACGCATGAGAATGCAGAATATGGTCACTTAGCAAGTCCTTCTGAGCCTATTGGCCAGTAATTCGAATGTACTCCAGGTTTGGTTGCAAATACTGCACCAACAATGAAGATTCCTCCGTAGACGGGCAACTTCTACAGAAGAGGGCCCACCTAAGACAGGGAAGGGGCCTCCCAAAGACGGGTAAGGGTTTACTCTTCTGAGATGACCTAAGACAGGAGGGTCTTCTCTTTTATAAAAAATTTAGGGGGGAGATGTTGGGCCTAATGAGTCCCGGCCTTCAGCTGCTCTTCCCTGTCTAGAGCCTTCTAATTGAAGTGACTAAAAGCTGTGCTTTGCCTAGAGGATCAGAGGATGGGATTTTCACCATTGACTGTAGGGTCTGTGTGTCGGTCTGTCTCTGCGTGTGTGTTCTCAACCTCCAGCCCCTTGCCCGAAGCTCGCAAACTGGGTTCTAGCGCATAGAGTGCAGACAGGAGCTGCGGTGCATGGCATTTTAGGGCCAGAGAGATGACCTAGTGGTTGAGAGCACTTGCTGCTCTTTCAGGTGACCCAGGGTCAATTCTCAGCTTAATGTCTATGTCTAATGACAACCATCAACTGCAGTTCCAAAAAATTCAACCCTTTTCTGGATTCCTTGGGCATGCATATGCCTGGTGCTCAGGTATACTTGCAGACAAAACACATATACACATAAATTTAACCATCTTAAAAAATAGTAACAATAACTTAAGGGCAAGGGATGTGCATACAAAAAATTTTCCTCCATGAATAATTAACCTAAGAATCAAAAAGGGAAAATCATTTAAGACTTAGACAATTTCAACTTACTCTTTCATCAATGATTCTCATAAGCCATCTTCTAGTTAGATTATGTCTCTTGACAGCCTAAAAAACAAGGGTGTTGTAAATGTTTAGAAGGTACTAGGAAGTGACTTCTCTAAATAGGAACAAAATACACCAAGCAATGCAAAGGTAAGTAAGAGGACACTTGGTACAGCTCATCCAATAGGCAGACACGCTGAAAAGACCTCAGGAGAAAAGCTGTGATCCGGAGAAGCACGTAGGCTCAGTATGACTTCCCAGTCTTCCCTCCTGCTGCACCGGTACACATCTAGTGATTCAACTTTCTTTCTCTTTTCTTGTTTTTGGATGTTAGATGCCTTCATTTTTTTGTTTTATTTTTGATATTAAAATATAATGATACTGAGTGGTGGTGGTGCACACCTTTAATCCCAGCACTCGAGAGGAAGAGGCAGGTGGATCCCTGTGAGTTCCAGGACAGCCAGGACTGTTTCAGAGAAACCTTGTCTCAAAAAACCAAGCTAAAACACAAACACACACGCAGTGACAGCATTTCTCTCTTCCCTTCCCTCCCTTTCAGCCCTCCCATATGCCTGATTACACTTTCAAATAAAACCAAGAACTCAGTAGAGAACTGCCTGTTTACCTGACTTCAATCCTAGCATACTTCATTCAGTCTTTCTCTTATAGCACAGAGTCTCGTTAGCAAAAATAACCACGTCCCCCAAAATGCAGAGCACCCTAAACCCTGAGAACAACAGGGCACGGTGCCACACATTTGTGATCCCACTACTTGGGAGTCCCAGGAGGAGAATCATTGTGAGTTTGAGTCCTAGCTATAGAGCAAGGCCTAAACAAATAAGAGCAGTGCCGGGGAGGCAGGTGGACGTGTGTCCCTCCAGCAGGGACACCTGGGAAAGACACATTTCCTATAAGCACTCCACTAAGAATCCATAACCTGAGTCTAATGAGAAAATATTGCAACAAACCCAAAATGAGTGTACGGAAAGGGAAAAACCAAGTTAAGACTGACCATACTTCTTAAGAAAATGGCTGGAAGGGTTGGAGAGATGGCTTAGTGGTTAAGAGCACTGGCTGCTCTTCCAGAGGTCCTGAGTTGAATTTCCAGCACCCACACGGCAGCTCACAATCACCGACATCCTTTTCTGGCATAAGTCATATAAGCAGATAGAGCACTCATACACATATATGGCTAAATAAATCTTTTTTAAAAAGGAAGGAAAAAAAATAGATGAACAGTGGTGGCCCACGCCTTTAATCCCAGTAATCAGGAGAGGCAGAGGCAAGCAAATCTCTTGAGTTTGCAGGCAGCCTAGTCTACAGAGTGAGTTACAAGACAACCAGGGATACACAGAGAAACCATAGAAAAATAGAAAGAAAAAGAAATGTTGACGGGGTGTGAGGTGGTGGTGGTGGCTGGGACTCCATGGTAGAGTGTGCGCCTAGTGTGGAAATCCTAGCTTCTATGTCACACGGGGTATGATGAAGCACACCTGTAACTTCAGGATGTAAAATGCTGAGGCAGGAGAACTGCTACAAGTTCTAGACCAGCCTGGGAATACGTGGTGAGTTCCAAGTCATCCTGGCTCCAGAGAGACACGGGGTGGGTTGCAGAGTAGACTGAATTTTTTTTTTTTTTGGTTTTTTCGAGACAGGGTTTCTCTGTGGTTTTGGAGCCTATCCTGGAACTAGCTCTTGTAGACCAGGCTGGTCTCGAACTCACAGAGATCCGCCTGCCTCTGCCTCCCGAGTGCTGGGATTAAAGGCGTGTGCCACCACTGCCAGGCCAGTAGACTGAATTTTCAAACTGCTCTGACTTGTCTCTAAACCTTTTGCAGGGGTGGGGTGGAGCTGCATGTTTTCTTTTGAGATGGGGTCTTGTCACACAGCATAGGCTGTGACTTCCAGCCCTCCAGCCTTGGCCTCCTAGGAATTAGGATTAAAGTTACTACTACTACACCCGGTAGGAAAATACCCCATTATCAGTAAGTCCCCAAATACTTAGTGTGTTACATTATGAAAATGATGTAACACACTTAAATGAGCTAGGAAGACTTATTTGTGTGAATTTATATACATACAAATGTGTGTGTGTATGTGTACACGTTAAGACGGAGGGGAAAGGAGGGACAAGGAGAATGAAGGGGAAGACAAGCGAGGAAGAGAGAACACTCTCTTGTAAATGATCGCATAGAGCTGACGCAGCTCAGGGCTTGTTCCAGTTTGCTTTCTGTTGCTGTGATGACAGAAGAAACGCAGGGAGGAGAGGCTGAGCTGGCTTACACTTCCAGGTCTCAGTTCATCACTAAGGCAGTCAAGGCAGTTAGTTACAAAGCAGGGACTTCCAGCAGAACCCGCGCAAGTGTATGCTTGCTGGCTGTTCACTGGCTTCTGCTCATCTGGATTTCTTTTTCAATTATTTTTATTGAGCTATACATTTTTCTCCGTTCCCTTCCCTTCTTCTCCCCTTCCCTTCTACCCTCTCCCATGATCCCCATGCTCCCAATTTACTCAGAAGATCTTGTCTTTTTCTACTTTCCATGTAGTTTAGATACATGGATGTCTCTCTTAGGGTCCTCATTGTTATCTAGCTTCTCTGGGATTGTGAATTGTAGGCTGGTTTTCTTTGCTTTACGTTTAAAAGCCACTTATGAGGGAGTACATGTTATATGTGTCTTTCTAGGTCTGAGTTACCTCATTCAATGTTTCCTAGACATTTGCATGCCTGCAAATATCAAGATGTCATTTTTTTCTGTGTAGTACTCCACTGTGTAAATACATCATATTTTCCTTATCCATTCTTCAATCAAGGGGTATTTAGGTTGTTTCCAGGTTCTGGCTATGACAAACAATGCTGCTATGAACATAGCTGAGCACATGTCCTTGTTGTATGATTAAGCACCCTTTGGGTATATACCCAAAAGTGCCATTGCTGTGTCTTGAGGTAGGTTGTTTCCTAATTTTCTATAAAATTGCCATACTGTTATCCAAAGCAGCTGTACCAGTTTGCATTCCTACCAGCAATGCAGGAGTGTTCCCTTTACCCCACAACCTCTCCAGCATAAGCTGGCATCAATGTTTTTGATCTTGGCCATTCTTACAGGTGTAAGATGGAATTTCAGAGTTGTTTTGATTTGCATTTCTCTAATGGTTAAAGATGTTGAGCATTTCCGTTTACGTGTCTTTTTCAGCCGTTTTAGATCCTCTGTTGAGAGTTCTCTGTTTACATATGCATTTCTTATACAGCCCAGGAGCAGCTCCCTGGGGATGGCAATGAACACGTGAGCTGACCCCCTAAGTCTATCAACAATCGAGAGAAAAATACCCACAGCTGGGTCTGAAGGAGCTTCAGTTGAGGTTGCAAGGATGAACTCAGGTCACAGAGCTTGGTTGGGAAGCTTTTACCTGCTGCTTGTTTGTTAAGACGGGGTTTCTCTGTGTAGACCAGGCTGGCCTTGAACTCAGAGTTCCACCTGCCTCTACCTCCTGAGTGCTAAGATTAAAGGCGTGCAGCACCACCACCAGGCTTTACCTGCTGCCCTTTTAAAGAGCAGCAACACACACTCTCTAACAATGCGGAGAGTCTCCTTGCACACAAGATTAACACTTTCCTTTGCCTAGCCTGAGTCAGAACAGGCAAAAAGAGCTACCCGGCAGACAGAACAGAAACATTAATACCATTGCACCAGACTTGGAGTTTCTATCCTGCGACCAGATGTGTAGAAAATACATAAGTAGTTTATAATATACAGGTAAAATTCCTTTTTCCACTTTAAAAAAAATACACGGGCCAGCAAGATGCCTCGGGAGGTAAACATAAATGGGAGGTAGGTAAACACTCTTGTGGAAGAGAACTAATTTGTCCTCAAACCACCGTGTGTGTGCGATGACATTCCAATACATGGCCTCCCTCTCTCCCTACCCCTCTCCCCCCCCAATACACGTACACAAAATCAAAAATTAAATATAATTAAGATACATTTAATTCCACTTAAAAAAGAAATATAGGATCTGGTGAGATAGCTCAATCAGCAGAATGCTTACACCCAAACCTAAGGACCTGAAATCCCCTCCCAGAGCCCATGGGAGAAGCTAGGACTGGTGGTGCATGCTTGTAATCCCAGCTGCGATCCCTGTGGCCCACTGAGCAGCCAGATGAGCTTACTTAGTGAGCGCCAGCTTTAGTAAGAAATCCTGTCTCAAAAAACAAACGATCGTGGCTGGTGCCTGCAGAATGATATCAAGACTGTCTTCTGGCCACACGCACGTACACGTATGCAGAGTGATATCAAGACTGTCTTCTGAGCCGGGCGGTGGTGGCGCACGCCTGTAATCCCAGCACTCAGGAGGCAGAGGCAGGTGGATCTCTGGGAGTTCGAGGCCAGCCTGGTCTACAAGAGCTAGTTCCAGGACTGGCACCAAAGCTACAGAGAAACCCTGTATCGAAAAACAACAACAACAACAAAAAAGACTGTCTTCTGGCCACACGCATGTACACATATGCAGAGTGATATCAAGACTGTCTTCTGGCCACACACACACACACACACACACACACACACACGTACACGTAAACACCCCCAAGGAAAACACGGAGCTCGGGAGGTAGATTAGTGAGGAAAGTACTCGCTATGATAGTGCGAGGGCCTGAGTTTGGATCCTCAGCACCCATGTAAAGTCAGGCATGGTGACACACATCTACAACCCCTATTGGGGTAGCTGTGTGTGTATGGCAGTTCTGGGGACTCACTGGCCAGCCAGTCTGTCTAAGGTCAGTTCTAGATTCAGTGAGAAACATGAACTGAAAAAATAAGGTGGAGGGCAACAGAGGAAGGTATCCAAAGACAAGTGCTAGTCTCCACACACACCCTATAGGCACATCACGTGCACACACACACACACACAAGGTGGAGAGCAACAGAGGAAGGTATCCAAAGTCAAGTGTATATATACATATGTTACCTTCCAGAGTTCCGCGGCCACAGGCTGGTGTGGCGGGTTGTCGCGGTATATGTCCTCCACAGCTTTTCTCCAGAACTGCATCCGCATCAGTCCAATTGCTTTCTCAGAGACCGAGTCCTTAACCTGTAAGCAGAGTTTAAAGCTCTAGACTGCAGACATAGCTTAGTGGGAGAGTGCCCGTCTGTCTCATGTATGGAAGTCTTAGGTTAAAACCCCAGAATAGCCGGGCGGTGGTGGCACTCGCCTTTAATCCCAGCACTCTGGGGCAGAGTTAGGTGGATCACTCTGAGTTTTGGGCCAGCCTGGTCTAAAAGAGCTAGTTCCAGGACAGGCTCCAAATCAACAAAGGAAATCCTGTCTCGAAAAACAAAAAAAAAAAAAAATTAAATTAAAAACCAAAACAAACAAAAAGCCCAGAATAGAAACAAACAAATGAAGCAATTATTGTCTGAACACCAAGTCTTGTGAGGAGACTTCTGAGCTAATCAGATTGTCCCACACCATTACTATGGTGGTCAACACATGACTGCATCTTTCTGGGCCAACACCGTGTAAACCTGACAATGCACATTCCTCCCGGTGCTGTTAATTAACATAAGATATAAACAGGTGTGGTGGCTCACGCCTACAACCCCAGGATCCGGGAGGTAAAGCAACTGCCATGAGCTGGAGGCCAACCTGGGCTACGTAGTAAGTTCCATACCAGCCCGGGCTACATAGTAAGCTCCATACCTGCCCAGGCTACAGAAGGAGACCATGCCTAAATTCCTAATTAAACTGTATATAAATTAATGAGGAGATCAGAGGACAACTGTGGGAGTCAGCTCTGTCCTTCTACCGGTGTGTGGGTTCTGGGGGTCGGGCTCAGGCTGCCAGGCTTGTGCGGTAAGCACTTTTACTCACTGAGCCATTTCTCTGCTTTCCGAGTTGTTTCTCGGGGATGAAGAGATGGCTCAGTGGTTAAGAGCACTGGCTACTGTTCTCAAGGTCCCAGGTTCAATTCCCAGCACCCATATGGTGACTCACAGCCATCTGTGACTACAGTTCCAGGAAATTCAATACACTTTCTGACTTCCACAAGTACCAGCTGTACACATGGTATACAGACACACACACACATAGGCAAACCCTTATACACATTAAATAATAATTATATAAAAATAATAGTAATAAAAATAAATGACTAGTTTATTGAGCTAGGGGTGGAAAGCTTGGGTAGCACAAACCTGTACCCAACACAGTGGAAGCAGGACCAGGCGTCCTCAGCCATATAACGAGTTTAAAGCCAGCCTGGGTTACAAGAGAGCCTATCTCAAAAAAATCAAAACAATCAGTCATTTTCTTCAGCAAACAGGCTTCTGCTGCTGCTACTCTGTGTCTCCAAATCTGCTTTTTGAGAATCATTAGAGTATTTGCATTGCTTTGATTCTCTGCATGCATGTTAAATTGAGCATCCTTGGCTCACACAGGCAGAGCAGTTTTTGTGATGGACTGGGAAGTGAGCCAGTGGCAGGAGCCTCATGTATCAGCTCTGAACTGCTCCTGCACTGTGGGTCCCAAATCTGCAACACTGGTGAATCAACAGGGCTGGAGAGACGGTTCGGCAGCTGAGGACACTTGCTGCTCTGGTGGAGGGTTTGGGTCCCAGCGCTCATATGGTGGCTCCAGATCCAACACCCACTTCTGGCCTCTACGGGCACAAGACACATATGCAGTGTACAAACATACATGCTGACAAAACACTCATACACATAAAATTTTTCAAATAAATTTTTTAAATGATAAACCAAGAAAGATTTTCCTACTCTCATATCCCTATATATCAGTATAATTGCATGAAGCTTGGCGTGGCACAGACCTTTATTCCCAGCACTTGGGAGGAAATGGCAGGCAGATCTCTGCAAAAAAGGCAATGGAGTTGGAGGGCAGTCTGGTCTACACAGTGAGTTCCAAGAAAGCTCAGGATACACAGCAAGACTCTGTCTCAAAAAAAAAAAAAAAAAAAAAAACTCGGAGTGATGGTGCAGATGCCTCAGTGTCCAGGAAGAAGGAGGCTTAGCCGAGGACGAGGGCGGCAGCCAAGGCTCCAGCAGAAAGGCAGTCTCCTAGGAGGTGCACACTCTTGGTACTAGCAGTGGCAACAGCCTGTCCTATACATCACCTGAGCTACTCCTGTGCTTACGTGTTGTGGTGTGCGTGCGTGTGCCACTCTCTTCTAGTCCCCACACTTCCCTATTCCTCATTCCCGGTGTCTGACCCCTCCACTGGCTGTCCTGAGAAGACCAAGACCATTCGGCTACAGCCCCTTTGCTTCCACACCATCTTACACGTTTGGTATCTGCTCATGTTCTGCCCTCAAGGAAAAAGGCTCTAGTCTTCCCCTGTATTCTGACACAGAAACCAGCTAGGGCCTGCTAGACTCTCTGTGCTCTACATGCAGGCGTCCGGAACATTCTCCACTGTCACTTCACATTCTCAACGTTTTCCATCTTCTATATATACACCACGTGTGTAATGTTAAGAGAAAGCAGGAAGATTCTCCTTAGTTTATTCAATTAACAGACAATGCTAACTGCAAATTTGTAATATACTCAGAAAAACTTAAAAATCCAGAATCATTTCCAGGAATATTAAATTCACCAGCTAGTTTTATGTTCTGGTACTGAACTAAGCCTAAGTCGTCTCTGGGAGAGAAAGCCCCTAGCAGACACGGTAAGGATGTCTGCCATGCGTGCGCTATGTCTTCACTGTTGAGTATCGCGCATATTCTACAACATCATAACATTAATACCAGCCTGAGCCAGCTCCACGTTGAAGGCCCTGAGTGCAGACACAGAACTTCGGCATACTGCAGGGAACAGCAGGGAACACAAGTAACTTTCATAATCCCGCTTCCTACAACAGAACAAGAGAAAAGCAGTCAGCTTCACTGGCTAAGCCGCACACACAACACTGAGAAATCAACTGGGAACAATGAAGATTTGACAGGTTTCTCTGTAGCTCTGGAGCCTGTCCTGAAACTCATTCTGTAGACCAGCTGCTTGGTTCTTAAATTATTTAACTTTCTCTACAAGTATTTCTTAAAAAAAAAAAAAGTACCTGCTTCTCATTCCAAGCGTGTTAAAAAGGAAATCCATATTTTATTTTTATTTACAAAGCACTTGTAATTGCTTCAGAATATTTTTCTTTTAGTAAAAATTGGGAAGAGCTACAAAAGAAGAAAGCAAAGCTGGACCTGTTGACATACACTTGTGATCCCAGCACTTCAGAGGCCGAGGAAGGAGAGTCAGGAGTCTGAGGCTAGCCTAGGCTACATGAAACTGTCTCAAAAACAACAACCAGCAAAGACAGTGGGGGCAAGTATGAAGAAAATAGTTTAAGTAAGCTTTCATAGACACAGAAATAAGAATATAAACCAATGTGTGCATGTATTTCTGCATTTGCTAAAAGAGCCTAGAAGCACAAATCAACACCAATTACCTGGATAGAGACACTGGCTCCTAAGACCTCAGACATTCTTGAAAGAATGATGCCCAAGTGGGGCGGGAAAAATATAAAACAAGCCAAAGACGTCTTGAGCATTCAGCAAAGAGTCAAAGAATGAAAGAGACTTACTGGTCAGAACAACACCAGGAAGAAGCCTGACAAGAGTTTGCAGAAATGTGAGCATCCAAAGAACAACAGCTTGGGTGTGGTATGTGCTCAGGAGGCTGCAGCAGGAAACTGCTTAAGGTCAGCTTTCGAAAACACAGCCAGAGGCTGTGTTTAGTATATAAATTACTATATTATATACATTAGATATTATATTATATATAATATTATTATATAGAAATATAATGGCTAGTGTGTAGCTCAGTGGTACAGCATTCAGTCTCCAGCACCATAAGGAAAACATAGGAAACAAACGTGACAGGGTCAGCCAAAGCCTATGATCTCAGTACTTGGGAGGATGGAGGGAAACCCTACATACCTGCCAAACACAGAGGCAAACGCATTTTGGATTTATTTCCCTAATCAAATCCAAAGTGATTTAGTTACTCTAATAAAGCTTAGGCGGTGGTTCTGTTTAAAAGCAGAAAATGCCGGGCGGTGGTGGCGCACGCCTTTTAATCCTAGCACTTGGGAGGCAGAGGCAGGCGGATCTCTGAGTTTGAGGCCAAACTGGTCTAAAAGAGCTAGTTCCAGGACAGGCTCCAAAGCTACAGAGAAACCCTGTCTTGAAAAACAAACAACAAAAAAGCAGAAATCAAGCAAACAAACAACAAACCAAAATGGTGGCACAGACCTGTAGTCATGGCACTCGGGCATGACTTTCAGGCCAGCCTGGTCTACACAGCCAACTATGTCTACATAAAGACTCTGGGCAGTGGTGGCACACTCCTTTAATCCCAGCACTCAGGAGGCAGAGACAGGTGAATCTCTATGAGTTTAAGGCCAGCCTGGTCTACAGAGTGAGTCGGGGCTGTTACACAGAGAAAACATATTGAAAAACTAAAAATAAAAAAAATTTAAAAACAAAACAAAGAAACAAAAAAACCCTGTCTTAAACAAAACTGTACCAGACACCACTGTTAGCAAGGAAGGGCAAACTTCGGGGGGTGGGGTGGGTGTAGTTAAACCATAAATGTTCGTAGAGCTCTATTCCAAGGCAGGTCTAGCCCACCCCACATTCCCACTCATGTCTGTGGAGGAACTCCCAGATGGATTTCCAGACACATCATAAGATTGTTCTAGTAAATCTCAGGCAAATTCCTTGTTCCCTTTATCTGTCACGAAGTGTGATCATCTGTCTATTAAATACTAACCTAACAATGTGCCAGGCATTGAGCTAAATGCTCTAATTGTTAAAGCTTTATTTTTAAAATTGTACTTATTCTTACATATATGAGTTTTTTGCGAACACATATGCATCACGCCGCTTACCTAGTGCCCAGGAACTCCAGAGGGGATTGGCTCTCCTGGAACTGAATTTACAGGCAGTTGTGAGCTGCCATGTGGGTGCTGGGAACTGAACCCAGGCCCTCCAGATCAGTCTGTGCTCTTAACCACTGACCCGTCTCTCCAGCTCCTAAATGCTCTAATTCTTACAACCCTTGATGGGATTCTCAGTTTGTAGGGACCGTTAAATAAGTTAAATAATTGTAAACAATTTCTAGTACAGTTTCATGAGGCTGATATGTGACCGACAATAACCTTGAACCTGCCTCTCTCTACTAAGAAGTGTGCCAGGTTTTGTATGGAGCCCTTGCTCTAACTAACCCTCGTGCCGTGCGTGCTAGGCAAGTATTCTAGCAACAGAGCTAAATCCTCAGCACCTGTGAAATACTTTGCAGAGTACACTGAACCCAAGGTCACTTAACGGTGTTAAAGTCACTAGCTGTCTATGAATAAAAAGTGCTAAGCAAGCAAAGGTTGCACGCTTACATCGCATGCAAGGTCCCTTAAAATCAGGGTTCAGGCAGGGAACGCGTTGAGCAGGGGAAGAAATCCCGACAAGATTCCAGGTCCACGCGAACAGGCACCCGCACGGAGGCCAGCAGAAGGCAGGGCGTGGAGGATGCAGTCCCAGATCCGGGCAGAAAGCAGGATGCAGAGGACGCGGTCCTAGCTCACTCCCCGCCCCGCAGGCTCCCGCTCTCGGGGACGTCCCGGGGCAGCGCCGCCGCTCACCTCAGCAGCTCCAGGCAGTAGTGGTCGGAACCCGGGATGCCGGGTCCGCTGGCCGCCGCCACGCTGCGCCGAACCGCCGAGGGCCCCGGGAGCCGCCGCACACAGTCCCACACGTCCCGAGGCGGCCGGCGACGGAACAGGCCGGCCAAACCGAACGGCCTTGGGCTGCGGACTGAACTAAGCCTGGGAGCCGCCATGACACTCTCCGACCCCGAGGCCACGCCCCGTCCCTCGGCCACGCCCCCGCATGCGGCCACGCCCCCGGCAGGTCTCTGCGCCCCTGCAGAGGGAGTCTGCATCTCCGACCGGAGCCAGGTGTCGCTGTGCTCCCACACTTCTAGCATTCGCCCTCACAGGCCTCCAGAACTCCAAAAGAAGTTGCCCGTGCCTGCTTCTTGCAGAAGGAGCGGCAGACGTTGCATCCCTCCACCCCGGAGATGCCAACCTCCTTTGGTCCTCAACAGGAGTTAGGAGCGTGCGTGGCTCAAAGATTGTAACTGCACAGCCGGAAGCCTGCCATATTGATTTATCCACACATATTCCCAGAGCCCTCCCAGTGCTGCCTACTGGCCCGTAGCTCCAAGAGAAAAACACAAAGATGCTGGAGAGACAACAGGTTACACAGCCATTATCAACCAGCAAATCCCCAGTCTGTAGCCCGCTGGCTGTTGACTGTCTCTCACAACACAAGAGGACAGAATCATCATTTCGCTTCTTGCTTCATCCCCATTGCCAGTCCCTAGACCTTTGTAGAAGCCGACTTGCCTTGCCTCTCTTCATATGAAAGTAAGGTCAAAACGTGGAAGTACACATCTGTTAAGCCAGCACTAAGAGGCTGAGATAGAAGGGTCAAGCGTTCAAAGCCAGCCTACGTTACACAGCGAGGCTGAAGCAACACAGGAGGAAATTGTGAACAAGAAAGGAAAGTAGCCTCTCAGCTAGGAATCAAAGCGTTTTTGCCTGTGGAGAATCTCGAATTCCAATATGAGGCTGCAGAGATGGGTCAGTGGGTAAGAAAGCTTGCTATATGAGATGGAGAGATGGCTCAGAGGAGCAGGAGACAACAGAGGGTAACAAGAGGCGAATACAAAATACATTATGTACATACCAGAATGAAATCCGTTATTATGTATATTAATATATGCTAATATGATGCTTAAAATGCAATAAAATGAAATTATATTACACATGATTATTGTTACCAACTATTATGAATTGAACATTCAGCAAGTATGGTGGCACACACATGTCATACCAGCATTTGAGAGGTAGGGACAAAAGGACCGATAATTGAGTGTCCAGCTGGAGAGATGGCTCAGTGGTCAAGAGTACTTATTTGTGTTCTAATAGAAGGGAGGAAGAAGGGGGATGTGGGCAGGTGGGGAAGTGGGTGTGATCTGAGAAGAGGTGGAGGGGAAACCATAATGAGAATATATTGTGTGGAAAAAATTATTTTCAGCTAAAAAAAAAATAGCACTTGTTACTTTTCCAGAGGACCCTAGTTCAACTCCCAGTGTCCACATCAGGCAGTTCACAACCACCTGAACTCCACCTCCAGGAGGGATCCAAGGCCACTGGCTTCCATGGGCACCCACGCATACACACAGTTAGAACATTTTAATTAAAAAATAAAATAAAACAAAGAATTGAAAGTTATCCTTGGCTACACTGTGAGTTTGGAAGCCTGTGTGTGCTACCTATCTTTAAAAAAATAGAAAAAAAGGGGAAACTGAATACATGAAAATGAAAATACATTCTTACTCTAATTCTCTGATATCAAGAAATGTCTTTGAACTCAAAGCACCCTTTCTCTGAGAACACAGTCAAAGCATAAAGCTCACTGCCTGTGCAGAAGATCCGATAAAGACCACAGAAGCGCATTTGTTAACTGGGCCTTAAGCCAGATTGGTTGCCCACCGTGGCCACCTAAGTTATCACTCTATGGTAATGGCTGGAACTGACTTTTGTCGTGTACAAAACACAATGGCATATTTTCCCAAATATAGCCTGCTTTTCACCGTTCTTTGGTTGATTAATAACTACACTGTAAAGAGTTATGTTCTGTTGTTTCAGATACTATTCTACCTCGGGTTTTTCCACAGCTCTCTGTTGAGAGCTTCTCGTGCCTCATGCCAAGAGTCAAGCTAACTTGTCACAAGAGCTCCGTTCTGCATTTGTTTAGTTTTAATGTCAACATAAATTTATTTTCTTATAGTTCTGAGATC